CAGTATGATAGGTGTTAAGAATTGTTTGATAATATTATCAACTTCTTTAAAAAATCTGTTATTCAATGATGGTAGTCCAACTTTTGGTAATACATTATGTTCAATTTCAAATTTTTCAAACTGTTCTTTATTTTTAACACAACTATTAATAGTTGCAAGCAAATCACACAAAGAAGTAGCCTGATCAACCTTATCATGAATCAACTTATTAATCGACTCTATCCTTTGCATACTTTGAACACCAGCTGTAAATTGATTTCGCACCTATGGCAAACCCCAAGATTCTTTATTAGTGTAAAGTGTTTCTAACATATATTTAGCTGATTTAGGATATTCAGAAATCAAGTAAGTCCACTAAGCTTCAAATAACTTGTTACATAAAGAATTATGACAAGCATAAAATTTTCATCGAAATTCTTCAAAGCAGGATTCCAATTTACTTTTAAGTTTCTTACAAAGGTTCATATCAACATAAAAAATGCATAATAAATGACTCGTATTAGGATAAATTTCATTAATCGTACTGATGATGGCTGAGTCAGAATCAGTAAATATAACTTCAGGATTAATATTTGTTTCGTCAAAAATTGTTGTAAAAATCCATCGAAAGGAATTGAGGGTTTCGTCATCTTTAATAGCTGATGCAATAATTCATGACTTGAAATGATTGTCAATAACAATAATTACACAAAGCATCATACGAAAGCGATTGGTATTTGATGTTGTGTCTAAAATTACAATATTATGAAAATTTTTATACAAGTTACGTTGTGATGGTGACATCCACAATAACCTACTTAGCCTTCTGAATAAAGGTTCTAAGTGTAGTTTGACTACCCACAAAGAATCTGATTCTTTAAAATTTAATAATGTTTGAAGCATCTGAGATGTGTTCAAATCACCTGGATTATTTGTAAGCTGAAACTTATATACAGTATTATATAGATCCTTTTTATAAATATGATGGTTAGGATAATTATGCTTGAGTAAGGGATAAATAGTTCTGGAATCCATTCAACCTTGTATAGCATACTTTTCAATATCAGATAATATTTCTGACGTTAATTTCCTAAATCACAGTGCTGTTTCATAGTTGGTTGAATTAAGTTCATAATTATGAATGTCAACATATGAGTTAATCTTAATAATATTAGTCGTTCTGGGACAAGTAACATTTAACTTCCAAGGGCATTGTAACCGTATTGAGGTTACATTTTATTGCTTAGTTGAGTCACAAGTCACTTGTGGATTGTGCACACCAGATCTTGAACATTTATAAGTAACCTTACGTATAATTTCACCATTTGCCTGGCTCGTCTAGACCTTGTAGTTGAACCTTTTTTGTTTAGCGAATTTGTTGAGCCAGGTCTTAAATTCTGACAAATTAAAGAAAGAAAGCCCAATTTCTAACTCTAACATTTCATCTTCAGGTTCACTGTCTAACTCTAAAACATCATTTTGATACTCAATTTCGTTCAAATCTGTATTAACAAATTCGATGTCATTGGAAAGGTATAGATCATCACTAAAATCATTCTTAAAATAACTGTAAAAAAGGTTCAACAATAAAATAAAGCTGAGAGAACTAAAACCCACTTACTTGAGAGATAGAAAAACTGTTATTTGTATTTAAGCCAAGTAAACCTTGGTCATTGTCAAATATTAACAGATCTGAGGTTTCTTGCAACACATCGGGACAATCAGTCTAGAAAGAAAGCCATTAATAAAAAAAGCTTCACTAAGTGAAGTTAGTTTAGTTAAAATATATAAAGGCTGCTT